TCATACAAGCTTATTTTACAAAGGAACATTTGCATTATTCCACTATGTCAGACTCACCACCGAGCACGTGGGACCGCCTTACGTAAATATATCACCAGAATGATTGACAACTAGGAGGACCACTGATATTGATGATCAACCTTGAAAAAGAACGTCCTTCACTATGCCTTTAAATGCATAATTTTCTATTATACCTAAACCAGCATGAAATGTTTAAGTAAACCATAGTGTTTTATAATATCAAATCAAATGAATATCCAACCCATCATCTTTAACTTCTATGGTTTGAACCGTTCAGATTGGATCACTTTGGAAATACAAAATTCTCCTATCCTATTGCAACTTGTGTATTTATGTGTTGCAGGGACACCTTCGAAGTCTTAAGGAAAAAAATCTAGGCAGAACTAATGAGAGAAAAAACTGTCACTTTCACTCATGGTTCACTCATGGATTTATGTGCAGCTTGTGGTGGCATGGGTCCTTTTCTCCTTCTCTCTTCAGGGTGCGGCAGGGAGTTGTTCCTGGACAAGAGGTCTGACTATCCTCTTGGGATTTCCTACTTAAAGCTATTTCTATGAAACTAGCTCCTAGATTTATTGGACTGTTCACATGGACTTGATCACATTGTCAACCCCACAGCAGTCCGCCTGAAGCTACCTGCACACCGTGTTCATCCTACGTTCCACGTGTCTATGATCAAGCCTTTTACCTCAAGTCCTTTGTGCTCTCCAACAAGGCCCCCTCCATCCATCCGGGATGTAGATAGCCACCCCGCCTTCACAGTTAGGCATATTGTGGCCTCTAGACGTTGTGGTTTCCAGTACTTGGTAGACTTGGCTAGGTATGGTCCTGAGGACGCTTCTTGATTCCTCGGCTTTCGAGGCTTTTTCTTCCTGACGGCTGCCAGGGGTTGTCTGTTAAGGAGGGGGTGCTGTCATACTCATGGTTTTATGTGCAGGTTGTGCTGGCATGGGTTCTCTCTTCCTCTCTGCATAGTGTGACAGCACACAGGTGTTGCTCATCTCCACTGATCAAGGGATCTTCATAAGGAGCTGAAACCAGGAGTAGGGCGTCAGTTCTTTATCACTTCGGGCATGATACCAGACCGAGTCCTAACAGAATTTCTCAGTTATTTTCAGAACATAAACCTTACTCCGTGTATCTGTCTCTCTCCTATTATTGTAGATCCCGACCCAAGTATCTTCAAGCCGGAGGAACTAGGACCTCCTCCGTTGCCTGGCCTCTTCTGCTCTTCTGCCTGAGCCACACCTGCCTGTCCACCCTCCAACATTGTTCAAACAAAGCGAGGAATGATCTGCTCGGAACCAACAGCAGCTGCTCCTTTATAAAACCCTGAGTGTCACCTTCCCTGGAGTAAACCTAACAACAACCTTATGAGTCAGCAGCTCCTCTCCTTTTGGTGATCGGCTTCTGTCGTGTTTTCACCAGAATCCTCGTTTTCTTTGCAGTACAGAGGTGATCCAGTCCGCTGGCTTCCATTTTCCAGTCCATTCACACTCTTACCAAATAAACTCTTTTTTGATTCCTCATCTTGGTGGTTGCTCTAATTTTAGAGTCAATAAACTTGATCTCCAACAAAATACAGCTAGGATGACATACAGTAATGTCCTAGTTTCTCAACAACCAAAATTATTGATTAGTCTTACTTGGTTAATTCCACCTGATTTTCTTCCAAATCTGCACACCTTAATTCAGCCATAAACTGAACAAAATACAAGGAGAGCTGCTTGCTCATCGTTTAAACCCATTTGCTCTTTTGTTAGGGGAAACCCATCCAAAATTGCAACAAAGCAGTGTGTTCTCCAGCAAAATGTATAAAGGCGTCTTTGTAAACATATATGCATAGCCCCTACCTATCCTGAAAATTAGCAGAAGGGAAATGTGTACATAACGCTGCTACCTCCAGTAAGCACCTACCTGAACTGCGCAGTGCCCGCACGGTAATGTAAACAAGCTCCCACACAATGGGTGACACAATGATATGATTCAAAGTTGAGACAATGTCTCTCTTAAAGCAGCCAGTCGGTACAGGGCA